GAGCTAGCTTATGTTTGTGCCTATTTGAGGCCACTAGAGTCTATAGCTTTCACATTTTTTTTGTTGCGCCTTTGTCACACTTTAAGTGCACAAATAAGCATAGGCCACTGATCTGTCCTTTTAGGTAGATTCCCGATCGCAGAACGTTCTAGAGCACAACGACTTCCACTACTCTGTCTTTACACCAGCGTACACATACAGGCAGACCTACAAAATCAAAACGATCACTGCCTTCATTGCACGCATCTTCCCTGCATGTGCGTGCATGCAAAGGAGAACTCCTACGCCCGGTCGAGGATGCACAGCTTCATCCTGATTGGTGGGCCTTTGTGTGTGGTGCACTAGCCCTCCGCGCGGGAAAAATGTCCCTGTGAAGGAAAAACTTTCAGTCTCACGAACCGGCCACACGCGCTTTGACTAAGGCGGACAGGCGTTCCAAATGCCTTTGCTGCTTCTGCATTCCACCAATTGCCTAGGGCATAGCAAAATTTAGTACACATCACAGGAAAGGCTAGGCAACAAGCCGTGAGGATAGGTACACTGCGAGTTGAGGTTCCGAGGACAATTAGGGCGTCAACTTAGCAACTACCAAAGAAAATTGGGAACATGCCTTTCCCGAAGGAAAAAACAGATCGCTATCTTATTCGGGTCCATGCGGGAACCACCATCGCTAGACCGACTTTCCAACCCGAACATCCATTAAGAGTAGGGAAGACAAACCCTGAATCCGAATAAAGCTTGATCGGAAGTGAACTAAACCCCGTGGTGGGCAACAACGCCACATCAACCATTTGCAAGGTCAAAGCTAACGTACACTTTCTGAGCATGTAGAACGCATTTCTCGACTCCTATGCCAAGTGTCATAGTAGTATAACTACGAGGTCAAGAATTAAAAACTATTACTGAAACAAAGCAGAGCTCAAATCGAGAAAACGATTGCCTGCCACGTGATTCTTCAGTGCCAAAATACGAGATTGACTCGTGAAGCGAGCGCTCGCGAAGTTATCGTTCAGTGAAACAATTTACTTCCTAGGTGCCTAACAAAGGTTAAGACGTCCTTAATAAGGCAGCACCAAGACTCCTTAATTTAACAGTAAACGTCCAATGAAACAAAAAACGGTAATCAAAGCAGTAATGAACATTAAAAACAGAGAAAGAACAGTTCAAAGACACTTTTATAAATGTATAGACACAGACGAACAAATTTCAAAGGCAGAAATAAAATATTGCAGGCAGTTAAATGAGGGGTATTCTAGGTGGCAGGGATGGATTGATCCTCTTCCCTCATTTCATCACTTGTCTGTAGACACCAACGCAACCAAGCAGCGACGTTTTCAGGCTGTTGACAGCGAGACAGTGCAAAGTGTGAGGCGGCCACCCGCAACTGCACAAGGCTACACCACCCCAAGTAAGAGCACTGAAGTGCAATCGTTCCACCAACGTCCTTTGCAGTCCACCACGAAGGGCTTCAACTTTACAGATATAGAAATGATACCTATCTCCGCGATGTATATTTGTTCTTAACAATCAGCAAGCGATGCAAAATACTTCCAGAGAATAATATGCACACACAAGTTCGAAAGCATCTACATATATACATAAGATGAATGAACAGAATAAAGTAAATGCAATGGGTATTTACAAAGGGAAAATTTTGGAGGTGAGTCATGTCAGTAAAATCATAGGGATTAGGCCCTATTCGAACGTGGCCTACTTACAGCCGGACGTTTGAGGGAAGTAATACTACTTTTAGTCGCTGATTGTTGCTGCTTCTTTGCAGTCTTAGACACAGGAAGAGGATTGGGTGAAGCCATAAGTAAATTGCCCAACCTCTCGCATGCTATATTGCCCTGCTCCGGGCTAGTCGAGTCCATGCGAATTGAATTCTTAAACGAAGACCAGGCTTTTGCATGCCCACGCGTAGTCTCGGAAACCGTGACCATTCCATCAATTTTCCCTTCGTGACAATTTCCACCAGAGCGAAGTTGGGAGCACCTTCTTTTCATCTGGTGTACCGATTGACACGTGAATCCACCTTCCTCAGCCTCTTCATTGCTCGAAAGGCAACAACCGTTTGCCCGAGGAGGAGCATGAATCTCGGGTGTGGCAACAGCGAAACTGGAACCGTCTAGTGCAGAGTCAACCCCTCCAGCTTTACGCACTAAGCGACGTCTTCTTCGGGAAGACTTCCCCCCTCTGGCTTGTGAAGGTTGAGGAGTTTGAGACTGGGGTAACTCTGCTTCCATTTGTTCGCAGTTCTTGGAGTCTTTCGATTTCCTGCTGGAGGCCGTTGACGACGACGACGGCATCATTGATGAAGACGACAAGCGGCATGGCGAGCTGAGATCCTGATTTTCTCGAATACAGGATACATTTTGCTCAGATGAAAACAGACGCAAAGGTGCCAACTGTTTCACCAAGTTAGAACATGTGTTCGATGCTGACACCGATCTCCCACCTCTAAAAGTAGGAATAATTAACTAACTCAAAATGCCCACTTTTACTAAGAATAACTCGTACTTAATAAAATTACATGAACATAACTTTTCTATAGCTAAAACGAGGCCACACAAAATAAGAATCTTGCAGCCAGTGGATAATTAATGATTTGAAGAGGGTGCAACTTGCGTACCTTCAACACGTAAATGTAAACAATGTGATAACACGTACTGTAGTCGTATGCAACAAAGAAAAAGTGCCAGCTATTCAAACAAGTACTTACTTGAAGGTTCGATCAGCTGCATCAATATCCCGATAGACTTCTCCGATTTCCGGCGAAGTCACATCAGAAACATGTAGTTCATGAAATTCCGATTCTGAAAGTATTTCGTCACAGTCAGAGCCACCGTCCAGCACAGTGCAAGACATTGCAGCAGACCCACCATCTACTGGTGGGGAGGATGTGTGGGTAGGGAAATAGGGGGAAAAAATAATAGGGCCTGACATTGGCGTAAATGCAGAGTGGGAAAACATAACAAAAACAGGTTTTTGAACGAGATGCGCCCCGTTTGACGAGTTTTGGTTATGTAAGCATATGGAATCATAGAAAACAGGGTTGTGAGGATAGGCGTACGGTGGGATTCTGGCAGAGAGGTATAACATATCAGCGCTAGTAGGCGCGCGTAAAAAAGCAGGAGGACGAGTGCTGAGTCCGCGTGCAGACACAATAATTGGCGCTTTTGTCCCAGAACTAGCGTTATTAATTTGATCGTCTGAGCAGTCCGAGGATTGGGTAGAAGAAGTCCTAGATGATGACTGCTCTAAATGCAAGGGAGTACATCCAGGATTGCTGCTATGCACAAGAAAAGACGGCATTAGTTGGTACATCAGCAGAGCGTAAGCCCTCACACGCTTCCTGGAGTCCAAAGTACCCTGTTAAAATGAATTACAGTAAGGAAAAGCACACAATCGCAGACAAGGAAACCAAAAAAGGCATACCGGCGGTACATGCAATATGGACGATAATATCGTCCCAACCCTCTCAGCATTAGTGCGCAAAACACCAGTTAACGTAAGATAGGCGTGCTTGAATGCGTCCAAAACCCTATACGATGAATAGGAACGCCTAGCAACGTTATTTCCCGGACAAAGGGGATCCTCAATGCACAGTAGGGGGGGATATTGATCGCGATCCATCCCTTTCATAAACAAATCCTTGGAAATAAAAGAACAGTGGTCTGAAAATTTGATTCCCGTTGTCTTGTAATTAAAGTGAATCCCGAAGAACTCGAAAAATTCCAAAAGCAGAGTTCCCAAGTTTCTGGAATTTATGCTCTCGTTCTTCATAGCGTTTTGCTACCACACAAAAAAACGTAAATTCATGGACGCCAAAACACAACACAATCAAAGAAAGTCATTTTACCTGTAAAAAACTTATGCACATCAATATAAGAGCATAAGAACTGAGACCTCCAGTCCAAACTTCGTTAAGCTCACGCAGAAGAAGGAACTGCTTCAGTGTGAAGACGAGGTAACGAAGACAGGGATAAATCTCAAGATACATCTGCACAAATTTTACGGCGCGTACACTGTTTGTCATATTGAAGCTTATATCAACATGCAGTCCAGTGTCAGCGTCCGTAAACTTCACAATCGGCACTGTCGCCTTTGATAGGACCTTAATATCAGTAGCGAAGTTGTTCTCCTTCAGCGCCCGTTCCAGGGTACCTAAGGGCAGCTGCGCCCACTTGCCAAACAGGACTATATCCACATCACTCGTGGGCAAATAAAGACCAGTGCTAAAGCTCCCGAAAACCTCAACCTACATCGCTAGACACAGAAAAAGATGCTCACCTTGCATTCAGTCCACAGGGAAGAAATGACGTTCCGCACCTTTGAGATAATTATCTCCCGCACCCAATGTTCTTCGTGCGATGGACAAACATAATTCACAAAATCTATGATTTCCTCATGAAGACTTCACAATAACCTTATCACTAAATTATTACCCCACAACACCCGGGCTATACACTTTCCCTTCCGGTTTCCACAATGGATCCTGCGCACACTCACCACGCTCAGATTTCTCCTCCAAACATGGGCGTTTCTTCTGATGAGCCATATTACTGGCAATCGAGTCGTTCATTGTGGTCCTACAAAGACAAAACCGATAGGTCATCACACCCGACTG